TCCCAACTTTATTCGGTTTTAACTTTATTTCCTTTCGCCCTTCGGTTTTTAAGTTTATTTCCTACAATTCTTGGCATTATTTATAAAAGTTCGTCCTGCTGCATTCAACTTTAGTCACTGTATGTTTAAGAGAGAATTCTAGCTGAATTTGAACTGAATTTATCTCCGCGACCTCTTTTTAGGGGTTCCATTTGGCTACAGATTTAACACGGACAGAGCTTTTAAGGGACGGATGAATGGAATCTGTTAGTGCTATAAAAAACGGCCAGCCGAGCCGAGAATTTCCACCGCAGAGCTTAAACAGCATAGAATAGCTGTGAATATTTGAAATGCCGCCTTACCACTCTGCCAGTTTTGATTTTTCAGGGGCTGTGGTAGAATTACTGTGGCTGTTCCACATTTTTCATGCTTAGACTGTCTGCTTGTTTCAGAGATTACGGTTCGGCCTAGCAATGGCTGCAAATTATTTTAACACTCTTATCCCACCTTTCGTTTTAGCTTCCTGAATCTGGCCGTTTCACATTTTGATTTCTTTGGACCATCCACTTTTTTTAAGGTTACCGTTCGGTCTTTTAACGGCCCCAATTTATCGTTACGATTCAGTTCTCTGTGGTGTTTTTAATCAAACACATGGCACGGACATATAAAAATGCTTTTGATTAAAAAATACAGTACAGGATTAACGCACTGATTTATGCAATGTTTCTGAAATGGAACAGATGGTGCGTGACTTCTAGAAGCATCAGTAAAATTCATCACAAAATGATCAAGGGCAAATTATCCCCAATCTAAAGTAAAACACAGAAAAGTAAAGTTATCCCCAACCTCAGGCAAATTATCCCCAATTTAAAGTAAAGCACAGAAAAGTAAAGTTATCCCCAACCTCAGGCAAATTATCCCCAATTTAAAGTAAAGCACAGAAAAGTAAAGTGAGGCCAAGTAAAGAGCGGTAAAATAAATTAAGGTAAATTAAGGTAAAGTAGGGTACATCATCACGACAGTTTTTGCGACAAGGAAAAATGTGAAATTCAGCTGAATCGGTATAAAAGTCTGTTAAAAATAAACACAACCCGGCCAGCCGGATGTAAAACTTAGTTGGGCAGGAAAGTATATAGGTAGAAATTTAGCATTGAAATTTTTGCTTTTAATTTTGAAAAACGATGCTTTTTTTTAAAATGTTCTAGATGCCATCCGAAGCAAGGCAACGATGATTGCGGTGTGTGTAAGCTGTCACCGGAGAAAAAGCTGCACTGTCCATGTGGTCGAACACTTATCACGGAGTTACCGGTGAAACCACGAACCGCTTGCACCGATCCGGTGCCCACATGCAATAATCCATGCAACAAAGTGCTTCCATGTGGTACTCGAGGTTCTTTTTTTTCGAAATTTTTTACTTATAAGAATGCTGATAGGAGTTTTTGGAGCTTTTTTGTTTTCCTCGTAAAGTCTGATCAACCGTTATTTTGTTATAGTGCATCTTCATTGACATCATAGCATCTAATAGCTTCCTGTGCTTGCGGTATCCAAGTTTATTTTAGGTTATGGTCACTTTGCTGTTGATCATAATTGTTTTTTTTTTTCGCTTTTTTGGAAGAGATACCATCGCAAGAAGATATTTTCTTAAAATAATTTTATTAATTTACAAATTTTGTAATTCTCATCTCCTGCTTTCGTATTTGATTTCTTCTTATTTCATTCGTTGTTAATATACCCTTCTATGAAATTTACTAAAAAGCGAATTACGACGCGCAAAAAAAGATTTTTTTTAATTGAAAAAACAAAAGTTAGGGATATTAGTGCCATTGGAAATGTAGTACTTACTCGCTCCACCACAGAGGACCTCTCTCGATCAGGTGGTGACAGTGTTTGCTTCATAGCAGCTGCTACTATATAAGATTTGTAAGGACGTGGGCTGGAACTCCAGAATTTTCCGGGGTCGCCAGATTCCAATTGTACGGAAAGTCAGAGAAAAACATTAGAAATGGCCCACGTGTTTTTGGAGTTTGTAATTGAAAGTTTTAATTATCTTAAAAATAAAGCTAAGTCTATCGGTTTTTATTTTCCTTGAACGGCTGTAAAATATTTGATACTTGAAATGGCTACTAGATCACCATTGATTGCAGTCATAGACGGATGCAGGGCGGTTTCCAAGGAAGGAAAGGTGTTGAAGAGGGTTTTCTTCACTTTTAGCACTGCTACCTGTGCAGCTGAGGAGGGCGAAAGATCCATCGCCCCTTCCCTTCCCCCCTCCCCCCAATACTTCGATCCGGCAATGATTGCAATGGTGTAGCTGTTTTCTTCCCCACTTCTTTATTTTATGGTTGTTTTGACCAATACTGCATCGCTTTTTGGTCAGTTTCTAATTGTCCAAGCGTTTCTTTCGCTTTAATGAATTACCGGCTCAGCGGCTTGCCCACTTTGCCCACTAAAAGATTCAATTTCGAACGTTAATTGTTACCGACTCATGCCCCAGCATTTCCAAATACAGATCATATTAAGGCACATTGATAACTTTCGGCGGTGAAATGATTTTTGGAAATTTAGAAGTTTGAAGTGAAATTTTCCGTTTTCACTAAGTTGTTGTAGAACGACCACATCGCTGTATGGAAAAATGCCACCTAGGAGCATGTCCACCATGCCCATTGAACAGTTGTATTGTATGTCGATGCGGTGCCGTGAAGAACACCATACCGTGCAAAAAGTTTATGGAATATTCAGGTTTGAGAATTGTTTAGTTTATTCCCCCGTTGGTTTGTTGATAAAAATCATTTTTTAAAGCGAACTAAAAGGAGATCAGAAAATGCTTTTGACAAATTGAAAATGGTTGCAGTAAAGTTTTTAAAAATGAAAATGGCTAAATGGAGGTTCTCTTGGTAAACCGGGCTTAGACCGGAATATGTTTTTTTTTGTAATTTTCAGGGAGATCCGGTAATAACTTCTGCAAATTCGGATTAGATTTAGAGTTGTAATGATGGGTGCTAATTTGATTTTGAAAGTTCGAAGTTCTTTTTAATCCCTTGCAAGAACGCAATTTTCTCATGATTTTGGATAATTTAAGCGGAGAATCCATATCTTTGTACACGACGCTGCAAAAAGATGAAATCCTGCCAAAATCATCGTTGCCAGGCTGTCTGTTGTGTTGACAGGGAACATCTGTGCATGCAGGTATTTTTTTCCCATTTGATTTATTCTGCTTCATCAGGTCATTGAATAATTTTAATCAGTAAATGTATGGGTACTTTGATCAGCTGTATTTCACAGTTTGGCTCTCCGATTATTGCGACTAACAGTTTTCCAGTTGTTTTTATCAATGCTGAATTGCCTGGTTATCAGCCTGTTACCGCCGTTTCTCATGCTCGTTTGTTAGGTGTAGCCCGCGACGATGTGCGCAAAGGCGGACGACAACTGCGTTTGCTGACGACACCGGTCGAACAAAATACGAATTTATTAAATAGGGTACATAGACAATACAGTCGAACTGCAGCAATGGACGAACGATGGATGCGAAACACGGCAACACACAATACTGATACTTAAACACTGAACTGGACTGAACTAAAAATCACAATAAAATCTTAATTTTTTTTTTCATACTTCTCACACTGGAAGAGAAAGATCGTTAGAGGGATCTCGCTGCTAATCGCTTCTGGGTCGTTCTGCCTTTTCCCCTGCGCCTCCTCACTTGCTGTCCGTAAACTTTTTGTCTGCTGGAGGATTTATTAGCTGTTCTCCCGTCAGAAGAAGCGTTTGCTATACATTAACGCTTCAAAATATAGCTGATATTCTTGTTTGTTTTTTTTGAGCATCACCACCTGGTTTCGGGCTTTGCCATTTTTTAAACTCGATGAAGTATTTTAGGAGCTAGGATGATTCATAAATGTGGTGGAACAATTTGCATTAGAATATGGGGATTTCTTTGCTTACATAGTTTACTCGTGTGTATCGCATTTTCCTGCATTCATGCCCCCAAAATTCGGCAACTTTGGGAACTGTACAGGTTTCTTTCGGTACCTTTTCTCTTACGGATAAAGGTGTTGTGGTGAGATGAAGGAAGTTCACTAACGATTTGTCGAAGAACTGCATAAGCAAGTAAAAATGAAGGGGGAGCGCGGAGGGGGGGGGGTGAGTACTTTATATATATTAATTGTGCAGAGAAGAACGAAGACTGAAATGAAGCATACGAATGTTAAATGCTAGTGATTGGAGCTGGGTTGTGGGAATTGCAGTTGATAAATGTGCAGAATTTACACTTTTTCGACAAAAAAAACGGGACTTTTTTAAACTAGGCTCTGTTAAGCGGTGAAATGTGCTATGTTTCGAATAAGTGATGACATGAAGGAAACAGTTAGCGTCAAAAACTACCAAGTTATGAGAGATGGGAGAACTCGGAAACCAGGTGGGTTAAAGTGCATGCATAGCAGCCGGAATCGAGATGGATTAGTACTGGCAGGGCTGTCGATGGCTTTCTCTTTCATGGATTGCTTATAAGCAAGTTGAAAAACTTTCGTAAAACTTACTTGTACATATTTTTTCTGCTATTAAAGGTTTGTGGCAAGAAGTTGAACTGTGGCAATCACTGTTGCGAGCGCCTCTGCCATGTGGGACAGTGCGATCGATGCCTGATTGCAAGTAAGTGCTTTCATTTGAACTTCATCGATTAAGCTGCTTAATAATATGCAATTG